ATGTCAATTTATAAATTCATTATTATTTTTATTAATATATGTTACATTCCTTGTACTGAATTATGTACTTATGTACGGTGTTAATAGTAAATATGTGTAAAAAAATAGCTGCAAATCCATTTACACATTAAAAATTTTTCTTTCACATAATGTTGCAACAAGTCATAGTCATTAATTAATCACCAATACTTTTTGTCAACTTCGCAATTTATTTCATTCATATATATATAGCGTTTTTATAAACAGTATCATATGTTAATTATTATGAAAATATATATATATATTTTTTTTTTTTTAATAAGCACATAATACATAACTAATACAAATATAAAACATAATTACTTCTTCTCTGAAATTGGAATCGAAATGAATATGTTAATCAATGAATTTTCATCGAAAGGTACTTGGGCATTTGTCTAAATTTATATTGCTTATTAACAGATAAAGCTAATTTAAAGTGTAGTTGAAGTAACCAAGTTGACACCGTGTACTAGAATAGTCGGCGGGAGATCTGCAGTCAATTCGGTTAACAAGTCAATATAACGTACAGCGCGTTCATTAAAACCGGGCGAGTTGATTTTTGGAGGAGCAGCTAAATAAATAAAAGATGCAGCAGTCTGGTCCGATCGTTCGCGTATAATTTGATTAACTCTTTAAAAGTAAACACAATATTTAAGTTGAAATTTGTTAAAAATTAATTTAGAGTGTCTAAAATAAATTACCTTTTCATATATGAAACAGAATTATCATAGCTCTCTTCAGATATTGTATCTATAACTGCATCAGCATCATTTGTAAATTGTTTCAATATCCGAGCATGTTGAGTAAATGACTCATTCCGATTCCATTCTTGTATCTAAAATACATATATTTATATTAAATTATATCAAAATACATCTCCTTGATCTATATTGCATGTGCAAAAATTGTATAATAATTATTATATATAAATATCTAATTTGTGGGATATCTAACGGGATATCTAACGGGCTACGTTACCATCTCAACAAAATGGGCCTATCCGAAGAGATAGATTGTAGACTTTGCTTGCAGGCAGAGGAGACAACCAGCCACATTCTATGTGACTGCCCAGCTTTGATCTGGGCCAGGAGGAGATCACTGGGTCGGGAATTGCTCTCACCTTCCGACATTAGCAGGTCCACAACAACCGACATTTTGGCCTTCATTCGAAAGGGGGAATGTCTTTTGTTCAGTTAGGGTCTGTTGTAGCACAAAAGATCAATCATGGTCGCGATGCTCTGCTCAAATGGGAGCTAGTACCCTGTTCTTTCTTATTCTTATTATCTAATTTGCATTGTCTTTGTGACATAAGCAAATATAAAAATTACATCAATATCATATAAACCGTTCAGATTATATGACATTTTATTACAAAAAAAAAAAATTATCATAACGACACTTACTTCAATAATATCGGCATCAATACGTAACTCTTTTAGCGATTGCTGCAGTTTCATTCTGCTTAAAACTTCCATTTGCGGCGCATAGGTATCAAAGGACCTTAAAAATTGCAAACAAATTATTATTAAAATTATTTGGGAAAAGTTTTTAAGTGATACTCACGTAATATTTGAAGCGCTGTTTCCAGTTTCGCAAAGGAAGACGCGCAAACGTAAATGTTTCCATTTAGCTAACATATTTATTATAACTGCCAACTGCATCATGAACAACGAAACAACATCAAAAGGATTTTCAGCTAAGGGATCAAAAACATTTATTGGCCATACGTCAATATATTTCATATGTTTGCTTCTGCAAAGTTTAAAATGAAAAAAATTTGTTTAATAATTTATTACATATGTTCACATACATTATTTATATATAGTATATAATAAAGAGTTTAGAATAAATTAAGAAGAGCTTCACAATCAACGCAGAGTGTACAACTATTTAGACAACAGGTGCCAAGAACAATCGGGCTAACGTCCCAGAGCCACTCGCCAAGTTCGACTACCAAGTGCCGTTTACACGAACAGATCCGTTTACAGATATTATATAAATACTTCGAAATATATAATTAGATTAACAAGAGCACGATAAACTTTTTCAATATTTTTAATATTGATAATTTTATTCAATAGGACAAATATTTGCAAAATAAATGAGAAGATTATTAAATCCCTTTTAACACTTTGTTGCGTAAGGAGTAAAAGAACCGAGCGATAGTAACAAAAAAGATGAAGGAAATTATATTTTAACATTATACATAGGCATAATGTTTTTATATTAATATGATTTTTATTTGATTAAAATCAGACAATATGCTATATCTTTGTATTGGTTTTGTGCTTTTCATCTTCATTTTTTTCGTAAACAAACAAAAAAAAAGATCTTGCACATCTATATACTATATAATATAATGAGATGCAGATGAGGATAGAAAGTAGGTACGAATTTGAATAAAGACATCTAGTTAGTTCCTTGAGAATTTTACAGATGCAGATGAAGACATCCCTTACAAACGTACTATAAAGTAAAATCATAGCAGAGCAGAACGAAACAAATTATGATAGATATGTGTGCTATGGGTATTGATCCGGCAACAGCTAATATTGCTCTATTGCTACTATTGAACATCTATATAATAAGTTGTCTTTGGTATAGGTTTACATAAAGCAGGTGATTAGGATCTATTTATAATAAATAAGTCGAGAATAATAAATAATAAATTTATTTGAAGCTAAATACAACTGTAGTCAAATCATCACCAAAACGTAGTGCTTTCACCTGCCACCGAAGTTTAAAAATTTATGAAATCTCATAATCGTTTAGCACCGGTGCACATAAGCGGCAATAAACGTTTGTTGTAGCCATTTCGCCATTTCGCCGCTTTAACGATTGTACAATCGGATTGTACATATGTTTTTAAGGGTTCAGGGGCAGAGTGGCGGCATCAAGCGTTTTTTGCCGCACGTGTGCACCGGACCGTATCAAAATATAAAATAAATAATAGATTTTTTTTATGTAAACATCGTCACCTATTAAAAACAATTAGTATAATACCGTGCCATCGTGCAAGCTATCACAGAACTTTTTTATAAAAGATGGGAAGACTTAACGATATGCAGGCATCTGTATGCAATTGGGCCACGCTCCAATAAATAAAATCCAATTCTCTATCTAGAAGAATAAATCTCTCTTTCAATCATACCTGCCGCAGTTGTGATGAGAACGATGAATGTGCCTTCCATCTGCTTTGTTTATGTTCCGCACATGCGCGGTGCTGCCTTACCACTTTATGGGCTTTCTTTTTTGAGAATCTTGGAGAACTACAAGGCCTCCCTTTAAATAGCATTATAAGCATTGCCAAAAATACTAAGTGGTTCTAACCAATGGGTCTGTAGACTTAAGGGGATTTTTTGGGATCGACGGTATAACCTAACCTAGCCTAAATCGTCCCATACATCTAAATTGTAATCAATTATTACGAAGTAATTAATATTAATTTTTCTAGAAACCTCGTTAAAGGTAATAAGTGTTTAACGTAATAGATTAGAAATACATGCAATGTCAATATGGCTTTTGTAAAACAGTCAAAGATGTAAAATCAAATGTATATATTTAATATGGAAATAATTTGAAGTATATTCACTTACTTTGCAATAAAATTTTTGTCCAAGCGATGAAAATGTCGACATAAGCATAAATTCTTTTTCATACGCAAAACGTCGCATATTATGGCCACATATTCTTCGATATTAATGTGCTTTTCTTCCCCTTCAACTCTCATTGGGAAATTGTTTATCTCACCATTATTGAAATCATCAGTTTTGTATTGCGAAGAAGCACTAAATGAAAATATGAATATTAATTTTATTTAAATGAAATTTATTTAAATTCAACTAACTGTGATACTCATAGAGATAACTACCTTTGGAAGAAATCTTTTGGAGTTTCATTATCATAAAAGCCTAAAATGATTGTATTAGGTTTCATAGCACCGATCCCAGATAAACGTATTAAATGTTGCACGCCTTCGCGTATGCTTGTCGCTAAAGTGACTTCTGCAAAAGCTTTTACTTTCATATGATCTAAGAATGATAACCACTGTGCATTTTCTTCAACTGCGGGATCAGATACATCTGTATAATTTCCAAGTTTTACATGTCCAATAACATAAAGTCCGCCTTTTTTCATATCATTAACAAAATCAACTAAGGGACAACATGAACGTGGCGAAGAAACAAGCAATAACATCTGAGGCCTCCAAAATTTAACATGATCTTTCCGTGGATCCAACATTAATAAATATTTTCGAACCTATATGAAAATATAAAATAATACATGCAATAATGTAATATAATATTACTCCACATCTATATTACCTGATGGAACATTAATGCTTGAGAAATAGAACCCCATTGCGCTGCCTGTGTTGCCGGTGAAAATAGATGCAGGGCAATGACCATAATTAAACACAATATTATGCTAGAAGAAGCATATATAGGATTAATGACAAACATCATCACCAATGTACCAATCAAGCCTATTAGGCAAGTATGCCAAGTAAAATACTTGAAAGAGGGTCTGAAGTTCGGTGCACCTGTTAGTTCTATACCTAAACACGCCAAATTCGTCGCTAAATACGAAAGCATAAATAACACCGAGTTCACTTGAGCAATTATGTTGAATGAACCGATAAGCAATATACATTCAACTAGAACCCAACTTGTTAGCACTGCTGCTATTGGATTTCCTCTCCAAGTACCTTTTTGCACAAAATTCAGTAATGAACCAAAAACTTGATCCTTCGATAATGCTTCAAAAATACGACTCGAGCCAATTAAATTGCTCAGTCCTGTAGAAAAGGTTGCAGTTAGAATACCAATAGCAGTAAACGGAGGCCAAAAATTAACTGGCATTAAAAATAGATAATTGTTTTGCATTGTAATGTAAGGTGTAGTTAAGGACATTAATAGCGACAGTATTATATACGATACGAATGTAAAGCCGACTGCTGAAAGTGTGCCTATTGGTATACTTTTCGATGGGCTTTTCAATTCGCCAGACATATTAGCACCAGCCATTATGCCAGTCACGCCAGCAAAAAGAACACCGAAAGTGGTGGCGAAATCTACGATTTTTCCGTCAGATGTATAATCTGGTCCATAATGAGAATACAAGTTTTCCTTTAATGTTGTTCCATTAAGACCGGTATAAGTTAAAGTAATGTTACTATTTAATTTGTTCTCTTCAGGCACGGGAATCTAAAATCGAAACAAGTATTTTATTTTAATAATCCAAGACTTAAAATAATTATAATACATAAATAATTTAGTTTAATTTAGCGAAGCATAGCATTTTTACATGTAGAATTTTTTATGAATAAAACTAATTCTAATATTGCTTATATATTTTCGACGCCTGGATTATATATAATCCAGGAAGATTAATAAATTTTTGGAGTTCTTCTGTGTTGTGGGATTTGTACATAATTGTATATAATCTTTTAACATATTATATATAAATAAAGTTTTAAGTTTAAGCTCGAATTTACATATATATAAATAATCCGAAGATTAAACGGTTGTCAAGTATATAGAAACTTTTTCGTTTGTCTATGTTGCTGGCTGGCTGGAAAATCACGTTCTTTCTAGTGAAGAAACAAAATTTAAATGTATAAACTATTAATTACATTAATATAATTTAATAGTGACAATTATTTGTGATAAAAATTACCAACTTTTGTAGTTGTCTAATAAAAAATGATAACAACATTCTTGTCTTATTCGCTCATACCTTCTAGGGTTAGCGCTATATATTTCATGTCCCTGATTTGGCAAACAGAACTATCACCCCATTTACTTTGAGGTTTGCCATTTTACCATTTTGCCATCGTTTAACAAACGCTTAAAATGTTACAATTGTGAAAATTTATTACAAAAATTTCGACGATTTTTTGCATCGAATTTTCTTCAGCGATGAAACTGATTTATCGCTTGGTGGATATTTCAATAAACAAAATATCGCAAATGGGAAAATGAAAATTCACAAGTAACTATCGTCATAACATTACATTCACGAAGACTCACAGAGTCACAATATAACTCTTTAAAGGGTTATCAAGTTACAGGCGAGCTACTGTCAATTATATGCCGACAACTCATAAATAACCTCATAAGGATCCAGTACTGTAAATGCTGTAATTGTGTTTACGTCCGGAGATGAAAGTCCTTACATTTTCTCTAAAACTCAAAATTTTGGATTCTAACAATTTAGCATTTAATAATCGATAGTGTGTGTTAATTTTATACAACTTGATAAGGTTAACCAATTTCAACCATATTCTAACCGGTTGGATTCTGAAATAATTTGTGCACAAAAATTTCATGCGAGTGGCTCTGATAATTACTGTATAAATTGCTAGTTAATAAGAAAATTGCTTGTTAGAGATTTGAAAATAACATTTAGCTAATAAATTAGTTTGATGTTAATTATATTTTGTTTTAAATATTATAAATTCATTCAAATATTACTCCAAAGTGATTCACTCTTAACTTCATGTATTCTCCAGAAGTTCTCTTAAAAATACTCTGGTACAGTCTCTGGGTCTACGTCCCGGAGACACTTGTCGCTATCGACGACCAAGTGCCATTCGACACCAACAGGTCCCAGCGGGATACCTTAACAAGAATAGTATAGTTAGATCAATGTATCTCCACATAGTAATTAAAAATATTTCTAATTTATATGCGGGAGCATCTTCACTGCCTTATACATCTATTTTCCAATTCTGTTTTACAATTTACTGTTTCACAGTTATTTAGGTCTATATACAGAAATCCATGGAAAGAATTTTGAAAAAAAAAATGATAATTTCAATTATATAATTATTTAATTTATAAATTGCAATAAAAAACCTAAGCTTTATTTATAAACAAATAAAATTAAAAGATATTAGTGGTAATGTTTCATGCAGGCTTATTCAGTTAACCGGTTTGCCACACCTGGTTATTAGTTTATTATTCTTATTCATCATTTTAACTATGAAAAATATTGTACTGCTTCGCTAAATTAATGAGCCAAACGACTTAACTGTTGATTGATTGGTTATTTACTAGGTAAACAGAAACCAAAGAGTTTGATATCTGACCTTAACTTCGATAAAATTATGAATCAACTTAAAATTCATATAAATATGCTTATATTCATATACAGGTAAGCTAGCAGAATTTAAAGATAACTTACATGCGATTTTGGGCCGACAAATAGGAAACTAATGTATGTTGCCAAAAGACATACGGTAACTATGCCAAGGATAAGTACCGAAGTTTTTGCAAATAATGCCGCTCCGACGAGACAAACCAATAGCATAGCCGTATTTATTAATGTACAAAAAAGAAATCGCCACCATGTACCATCTGGCAGAGAGTTTCCATCTTTTGTGATATAGCCACCAGGTCCAAAATTTTCCATAATACCTTCAGTACAACCGGATATGGCCATAGCACAACCTACAACATTCGCTAAGAAAAAAAGTGTCCCAATTGAACCACCAAATTCTACACCAAGCGTACGACTGATCATAACTGAAATAAATTAGTATTATTAAATAATATTATTAAAAAAATCAGAAAAAGTAACTTTAATGTTTTAAATTTTATAGAAATAGCAGTGTCAGTGTCAGTGTTTCTAGTAAATTAAAATATCTTAACCAATTTTAATTTGTATATCAATACTGCACAGCAGGATGCACTTTTAGAGAAAGTTATATTCATTTACTTATTGACTATGAAGCAACATTTAATCATAAAGGCAAAAATATATATTAATTTTTTTTTATGTTCATTATAATTTCTAACTTTTTTTGTCTGTGAGAGATATATAGAATTTGATCACATTAAAGGTGGTGAAAAATACAATATAAACGTGAATTAATAGCTCTTCACACAGATGTAGTATCCTCTTCGAAACCTCGGTTGTAATAAATTATTTAAAAAGCTCCCGCATTATATCTCCCGGGAAGAACGACCCCTTCCACTTGCAACAGGAACTGTCATAACTCAAGATCAGCATACAGCCATGTGCTATACAGTTTCTTGTTATGCATAAATACGTCAATTCCCGAAATATACCACACCCCCACGACATCGCTCAACTTTTTAATTGTCCTGATACACACAGCAGATCTTTGACTCCATCCGATTGAAGTAGCTACGTTTTTCCGACTTCACGCAGGTTGCCTTCAATTAAAATCCCACTCACCCTAACCCATTTTTATTCCCTTCTCACACATCCTAACCAATGTATATGTTCTTATGATTCCTTTCAATAAATATCCGCGGGTTACAACAACAACAATATCTATATATTGTTTTCAATCTTAGTTTATCTTTTCATCTGATTAATTAATTTAGTTTAAATTTAATTTATTTCTTCTTGTATGCTTCTTAACTTAAGTTCCATTAATGAAATAGACGACTGCCAAAGATTATATGCTTCCCCGATAAAAAAATTGTGCTTAAAAACTTACTACTTTCAAATTATGCATTGTTCACACTGACCTGATTTAGGGAAAATTGATTTAAATTACAGAAAGCTTTTGCATAAACGTTGGCGTCTCGCCATTTTTGTTCTTTATTGAAATAACGCTCACGATTCCTAAAATGCATATCAACCTTACAACTAGCGTTAATAATGAGTATCACCCAATGTAAATACTCTTTAATGACGCTGCTCTTTGTCATAATAAATCAATTATATAACAGTGTAAATAAAGTACACTGTACAATATTAGGCTTTTGCTCTACAAAAAAAAAATATACAGATAATATATCTATAGTATCTTATCTTATTGTATCTTATGCATGTGTTAATCTAATTCACTATTTGTGATTGCTTGCAGCACGAAAATTCATTTATACGTATGTATTGTGTTTGCTTCTCCTATACACAGTTATAGTCAGCTGTAAAATTTAATATCCAATTAAAATTTAAGGCTCATATAACCTTTGGTAAGACATCACCGTTAATTTTTGCAATTACATTTCGAGCTGAGAATCGAAATATGTGCCACATAACTCTAAAATTACTATATACACACGGACGACTTAAAAACGAAGAGGTGTACGGAAGCGGATATCTAATAGAAGAACATGCAAGTAAGGAAGTTATTCCATTATTCTTATTCCTTCAACGTTTATTAATTCAAATTATATGCGGATAAAAAACAAGCCAATCTAGTACACGGTAATATGATTCGATCTTCAATTATATGCATTATGGTAGCACTTTTAATATATATAATGCGGACTTTTCTACAATACTACTTTATAATATAATTTTCTTATTCTAATGGTTCTCTTAAATTACTGATTGAAGAGTTATCAGCAAAAATGCTGTATAAATGCTAACTTAAGATAGCTCAGAACTTAAGAC